GCCCAAAACTAGATTCTGCTTTAATGCGCGTTCGTTCTTCACATGCCTCTTGTCATTCATCCACATCATTCGTTTCTCGGTTGGTTTTTTACGGCTGCCCATCATTCGTTCGTACTTTACCGGCATCAGCTCTGAAAGCGAGGAGCATGGCCTATCTTTGACTGGACAACTATTGATCATGCCATTTCCATCCCGGCTCTAACGTCGAAACTTACGTCATATATCATAGCAATTCAGTGGAACATTGAATCAGAAGATATGGACTATTAATGAAATTCAAAGTATTTATATCTATTTGGGATATCCCTTTACTTGTATTTTATTCCTTTTATTATTTTGAATGATTCACGTTACAACTACCAGTGTGTTTTTGTTTGTCACTCTTAAATTTATAAACGGTTATAATCTAAAGCCCTGCTGAAGCATCAATTAGTCGCCGTCGCATTATTAACTCATATTTTCATCTAGAACTCACGTAACCGTAGTCCAAAATCTGCTACTTAGGCATTTTTAAAATATATTGCATTTGCATAACCATTGGATGGTACCCTCTTATCAACTTGATCTCCTGATCAAATCCGTTGATATTTTTAAGTTTTAGTTTGTACTTAATTATTTTTATATATCACTCTACCGTAATTCTTTTTGCAGTAAATTCAACGGATTAATCCTTTTTCGTTATTCGACAGGGATCCCCACTGCCTAGACTTGATGCTAACTGTTCAACTCTTATGTTGTTTAACTGTTTCAGAGGAACTACAGACTGATCGACTGTCCCCGATACAAGTGTTGGAGGCATTTCAATGGCGAGCAATCCAGGTCAATGAGAAACTGAACTGCGCCGTAAGATTTCTTCCAGACGCAAGGAAAATGGCGGAGCTGATTGAAGCCAAATACAGATTCCAAACAAGGAAGCCGCCATTGTATGGTATTCCGTTCAGCATCAAAGAATCAATAGCTGTAAGCTTTTTGAAAGTTCGATGCGTAGCACCAATTTTGGGATAATCTGTCGTGACCTAAGTGTGCAAAACAAACTAGCCCATCAGAAGGTTGGATGTTGATTGATGTTTTGTAAAAAGGTCATTGGCTTAACATTGGTTGCCACGACGGATCAAACTTAGACAACGCTTCCCCTTGTGCTGCTTTTTAAGTAGGTTCTACAGACTTACACTGAAATTTGTGTTAGCTAAACCTTAATCTAGCAATGAAGCATCTTCAAAGATGTTATCGATTTGCCAGGTTTGGCTATTCCAGTAACGGTTATGACTGAAGTAACTGTGTCAAATTTTATATGACCTTTTGGAATCTCATTTTTCCATACACGCCAAGGTTAAACTCCCTTATTTTCATTGAGTGCAAATGGTTTTAGTTATGACTTATAATACTCTTTTACTTTATTCCGACGTTTCGGTTTCCGGCACAAAAGCCACCGTTAGGGAAATTTTCATTACACAATGATACAGTATACAGTTGTGTTAGGACGATCATAAGTGATCGCCATGAGGCAATCGTGCATTGATGGATGCGACCGACTACTTTATTTGCATGTTGTGATCTAACCGACTACACATCGCCACGTAATCAGGTAATACCATGCGCTCTAGGTATTAGTACATATGAGATCGCCATTTACTACGCGCCTGTCGTCGAGTATATAAATCCATCGTTTTGTCACTTGTTATGTTATGTTGCATCGTCTCGCCTTGTGAGAGTTTGCTTTGCCCGGCTAGGCCACCGCAATAGACCTATATCAAGACCTGGCTTTGTGAAAATATAACAAGTTGTACGATAACATACAGAAAGTTTAAGAAACAACTGTGATGTAAAAGATGGAAAACTAGGTGGAACTTTATACAGAGGATGAACTGTGTTTTGAAACTGAAACAGCAAAAATGTGATGAAAAATAATGAAGTGATATTCATTGATTACATTATAGATTTTCAATCTGTACAGATATCAGTAGAGCTCATGTAGTTCTTGCACATACTTTCTTTGTAAAGTGAAATACATAAAGATTCTTTATAGAGTAGGCTACGTTTCTCTTTTTATAGTCAAGGGTGCTGACGTTTTTTCGTTAAAGATATGCCTACACTCAGACGAACGGCTACAATCCCAGAATGCTTTGGATGGTTTTTCCAAATGAGGGTTTTTTTCTCACGTTAAGGGCCCTGTTTGTTTCACTAATGTTTATGCTATCGCAGTTTTCACAGTTAATCAGATAAGCCACTTTAGGTTTGTCATGGTTAAGTTTAGAGTATAATTGCCCATACTGGATCCTAACGGGTTTTGTATTTTATATAGAACCCTGATCCCTTGCTTTTATAGATAATTTTTAAGTGAGGGAGAGATTAAATGGAATCGAAATGACAGATGTTGCCCCTTCCGGCTTTTTCTGGGAACGTTTTTGGAATAAAGATGATTTGGATTTAAATTAGAGCTTCGGCGTGCATTTTTGCAAAATATCTTATTCAAGAAATTGTCCTCTTTAGTAAGGATACCAGGTTCTAAGCAATACCGTTGGGTCACTTGTCTCATATTTTTAATAACACAACGGAAAACGATGCGGGATGTTTTAGAGGTACAGTATATCTGTCTGCTTGTGTTTTGTGACTTTCCCAAAGTCACACATTGTTTCAGACCGTATTGCTCAGTCGGTATGGCGTCGAACTCACAGCGGATAAGTCAAAAGTTCAAGTTCCCGGTCTGGATCATTTTTCCTTCTTCTTTTCGAGGTCAACAAATGAGAATCATTCTGTGAGAAGGTGTTTTATGATGCCAAATTATTTAACGATCATGCTGCTCCTGGAGTTTGTGAGATGGTTACGACTTCTGAGTCTCTCTTCTAAATACGTTATTCACATTTCCAAATCATTACATTTGTGACTTTTTACTCTGGATAAGTAGAGCCTGAAAAAAAGATTATCCCGGATTACTGAACATCATCATGTCAGTAATCCTTTGTTGGAGCTAGCGTTTTGCCGCTATATTTCGGCTGACGTGTTTTGGTAAATATATGGCATTTACGACCATTGGTGCGAAGATGCGTATAGTCTGGCTTGAAAGGAGGCCTTTTCGTTTACTGGTTACCGCTCTGTTCTTTGCTGCATTTTTGCCACTCTGACAGGATGAGACTTGTTTTCAGTGATAAATGACGCTGTAAATCCTGCTGGCTGAAGCATCTGAATTATTTTCCTTGCACTGTGTGTCATGTGTGATTCGCTGAGAGGTCGATAAAGGCCATGATCGTTTCATTCCTAGGTATATCATAAGCCAGCAAATTAATTTATTTAATCAGGCAGTTAGCCATGTTGAACGTAAAGGCGTCTTCTTTTATGCTTTCGTCAATCATTAATCGTTTTTATTGTTTTTAACTAACTTATGAGCAGACTAGTTATTCAGTGAGAAAAATTCCAATGACACATGTTACAAGTGGTCCATCTTTGCAAACAAACATGCGATTCAGAGATTTTATCAAGCACTGGCTGAGAGTGTATTGGCGAATAATACAATCCCTTAATCGAACGTCTTCCGGTTGCAAATGTTCGACCGCCGTTCACCAACTGGCCTTGAAATGTTCAGTGTGTCTCTTGGTTGTTCATTCGCAACGGTTGAAAAATTGTTTTGACGTTGTTTGATGCCAATGCATTTTATTTCGAATTTCTGGGCAGTGAAAATGTTTCTTAAAAGCTGCAAGTGAGCATATACATTTGTGAAGGACGACTATCACGTGATCACAGATAGATGGGATAAAAGGCAAATACACAAAAATTTCATATACATATTTCGACACTGTAAGCGCGAAACCAGGACTCGTCTGTACAAAGTTGAAAGAAGGACTTTACAAAATATACTCTTTTGCGTATTGATTGCTCTACTGATATTGCAACATGTCGCTATTTGTCTGTTCATTCAAAAAACCTTATTGTAAACCTTTTAACAAATTGTTGCCGCGCGAGACAGGCAATGATCAAGGCATCAGTCGTTTATAAACACTAATTATTTCATGAACGACTTCCAACGACGAATACTGTGTTTATTTGTTGGAAAAAATGAGTCGTACTTTCGTAATCTTCGCCATTGGAATATAGTGTCAATTTTCCTCCGCCTTTAGCAATATTATTTTGTTGATGCAATTTCAGTCACTTAACGAATACGATGGCAGAATTTTTAACCATTACGGTAGCAAATTTTTTATTCTCGATGCTGTTATTATTCCATTAACGGATATCATTAGCAATATATTTTATTGTTTTAGGTCGCCTTAAGCTGTTCTACACTTGGCTATGCTCAAAACCTTGGTAAGATTAACCAAAAAGACGCTGCAATGGTCACCACAATCCGAGAAGCTGGCGGAATCCCATTTGTACTCACAAATGTGCCGCAGAGTTTGCTCTCGTTTTCTTGTTCGAACCCAATATTTGGGACGACCCTCAATCCTTACGATCCGTCTCGGACATGCGGTGGATCATCCGGTGGCGAAGCAGCACTCATCAGCTCCAATGGTTCCGTCATTGGTATGTGCTTCCTAGTTTCCGAAAGGCACGTTTTTAAAAATAGTCATCCGTATTTTATGCGACTGTTCGACGATTGGATCATTAAGGACGGCTGTGGCAGACCTATTTTATACATAATATGGAAGTATCACATTGAATTTGTTGAAACAGTCCCTTTAAGCTGTTTACATAGACAGAATGTCTCTGGTGTGTGATGTCCATTCTATTTGCAGCATTTAAACAATTTTACTATCAGGCACCTTTACTGCACATCCCAGCTTCTGCTGCGCCTTCTTCTATATACCTCTACATTGTCACTACATTAAGCATGCTGGCCTTCTAGTGGATGTTTGACTTTTTTGGCCCCCACGCCAGAGGCTCTCTGCTTGTCTAACAGAACCACTCTCATTTTTTAAATCTTCACATCTACAGAGGTCACACGTGGAATAGCCATAGCCAGCTCACTCGCAGAGTGAGGGTATCAGATCCCTAGCTGGCTGCCGAAAGTTAGTGCACCTCTTTCTGCGTACCTTTCTCTTCGCGCACATCTTTCGCAAGTGTGCCTTAAGTATCAAACTGCGGTCTAGTGTCATTCCAAGTTGTTTTTTAAGCCTCGTTTCTTACGTGGCCACCGCAGAAAAACACTTCTACAGGCGTTTTCCCCAATTTTTGATAAGGTAAAATAAGATTGCGATAGTATTAAAGATTTAGTGTGTAGGCGCCAACGTTTTTGGTAGTTTTCGATTTTATTCAAGTAAGCAGTTTAACCGCGAATTCCCTTGAACAGGTTTCAGTGCAGCCAACTCAGAAGCGGGTAGAAAATTGTTGACTTGCGAACAGCAGGGCAGCATAGTGTTTCGGTGCAGTCATATTAGAATTGGCGAAAGGCAGGCCATGCTGTCTGATGAAAGCTCCTCATAGAACTGCAGTTCGCTTTGACCCACCAGATAACTGCTTTTTCAATGTGATAATCAACAGAAGATGTGACCCATCAACTTTATTTAGTTATATGGTTTTTTTCCTGGTCGTGTGCACTAGTTTGCCAATCAGATTACAAATGTTCCCCATTTCTTTCTATTCGTATTTTTGGAGTGGCACGCCTACGATATTATATTGGCGTATGGGAAGCCCGTGATAGATGCTTCAGTCGGAGAAATGCCGTTGGGTTTTACGGTTCTTGAAATAGAGTAACCTTGAAAAGGGCCGTTTGATTTCGCATTGCGGATCGTTTAGTTTGAGGCAGCCCTGAAAGGATCGTTGGATTTCCCAACGTCGTGATGCTTCAGTTGCCCTGAGTTGATAACATTACTTGCGGTTCCAGAAGAATGCTTATCACATGGGCCATGTTGAGGTCGTCCGAATCTACCCGTTTTGAGAACGGGGCTTAGCTACAAAAAGAAATTGAATTATTCATACTTTAGCGTAGGAAGACAAATTTTCCCTGTTAATTCTGTAAAAACCTGCTCTGCAATGTCTTTATAGTTTTTTTTCTGAGTAAATGAAGAATCTTCTTTGCTATCTTTGCTGGGCATTTTCATGTCTGAATCTGAACTGTTTTTTGTTCCCAAAGATTTGACCAGCGAAGGCTGTTGACTCAAGCAATGGACTCCTGTTTAAAGCAATACACTAGAAAGAAGAGGAAGACGAAAAATCTGGATTGATTCTTTCCACGACGCATTACTTTCATTCTTTACCAATGAACGGCATGCTTTTTAAACATGGCTGCTTTCTGTTTCAGAACGGTCATTAGTCATTTTTACATTAAACCGGTTTTTTTCTGCCTTCTTTAGACGAGCATGTATTTAATACATTCATTCGATATTTTCGCTATCAATTATCAGGTTCCAGGAGTCTTCCATGGACACAGTTTTGCATTCGCAATATCCACTCACCATTGATCTAACTTTGCTTCTTCTCCACTGTTTCCAGAAACTACGGATTTTCCATGAATGAACTTACTGCAGAACATGATGATGAAGCTGAAAATTTATTTATACCACGTCTAGAAGTAGTTTTTTGTGACATCTAAAGTGTGAGCACATAATCGATAACGATTGTACGGCTATTGTTGTCTCTCCCTCAACGGTTGTATATGGTTCAATCATAATTGCATTTTCATCGTTCATTCACTTGTTTTGTTAAATTTGCGTCCTTCTTCCGTCTGTGTAATATACGTTTCGCTTTCGTGCCCACCGAAGACAATGTTTCCCATTTGATTCTCCGGTTGCTTCTGCCGTCAGATCTTCGTATGGTACTCCATTTCTTACAGCGCAGCGTGCCAACAATAAGACGATGATCGGTTGATAGCTCTGCGCTACTCTTAACGCGAACATCCATTACCGTGCACCTTATCAAATCGATCATCGACTTCTGTGCACAAGCTTTCCGGTACCAGGTGTACTGATGCATTTTTT